CCCGCCAGCTCCCTTACGCCCCTCACTGCCTCCCTGGACTCCTTCCTACCTTGGCCCTTTCCCCGAGTCCCTCTTGGGCTTCCCGTTCATCTGCCTCTCTCTAGGTCTTTCTTCCTCACCCCAGCACCCAGGGCAGGAGTGCAGGGTCCGTCCCCCACTCTCCCTACAGCCCCCTCCTCAGCTGGGCTTCATCTTCAACTGGGCCTGGCCCACCCTCCAGGTGCGCTCATTGCTCAGTCGCCAGTTAACTCTTTCATTACCACGGGCGGAGGCGGGGGGAACCTGCTCCATCACAGTAAGATACGTACTGGGTCCCCTATCTTCGTAGGAACTGAGCACATATTCTAAGATCGAAGGGCACTGTCAGATAAAACCCCACCATCTCCTTTATTCAGCACGAGGCTCCAGCTACTCACAGAGAAAACCCAACCGTGCCCTGTTGGTTAGCTTTACCGCTACACATCGTAGGACACAAAATAAGCGGCTCACCGGGACCCTGGATGGCTGAAGTTTTGGTGCTGGGCAAACGTGGTTTTTTTTCTTCAATCTGGTGATTTTTAAGACCATCTCCTGATTTTGGGGGGGGGGGGCTGACTCGTGATTTTTTTTCTGGGCGTGGGGCTGGCCTACATCATAGTCTCTCCCCTGTCCCTTGAGAATGGTCCTCTGAGACCCAAGTTATGGCAGGGGGAGGGGAAGCTGGCACATTTGCTGCTCAGGGATGTCCCTGTTCCATGGATGGAGGCTATCAGCCTCGGGGGCTGCCCATCTTGGCCTTTAGAACAGCGGGTGCTGCCCAGGATTCTCTGCTGTCTCGCTGTCGAAAGGGAGGCGATGTGGCTAGTGCACTAGACCGGGACGGGGAAGACCTGGGTTTTATTCCCAGCTCTACCACTGGCCTGCTGGGTGACCTCTGACAAGTCACTTCCCCGCTCCGTGCCTCAGTTTCCCCATCTGTGAAATGGCGATAATAACACTCACCTGCTTTGAGAGCTAGAGATTATGATTATTGTCTCTTTTACCTCACTTTCATCCCAGCACCTTTCATTTGGCTTCTGTATGTAGCTACTTCCCTCTTCATAATGGGGAAGCTGCTGGTAGGTCTGTGCTGAGCCCCTCAGAAACCCACTCCTGCAGGAGTCAAATAGACCAGCACCTTCCACCAGCACTGGACTCACTTTGGAAAGTAAAGGTAATCAGAATAATAAATATACAGTAACAGCCTATTCAGAGCCATTTTCAACTGTAGAGCGTAACACTAAACATCAAAGCATTATTATCCCTATTTTACAGGTGGGGAAACTGAGGCACGGAGAGGGCAACTGACTTGCCCAAGATCACCCCAGTGGAGTGGGAGAAGAACCCAGGTCTCCTGAGTCCTAGTCTAGGGGCCTAGCCACTGGTAACTCATGCTATAATGCTCTGTGAATGCCGATTGAAAGTATATCTAAGGCCCTGCTTAATTTGCAGAAAATGCAGATCCTGCAATATTAGGCTTCCACCACATTTTTATTTTAATTAGCTTACTTTGCACAGTCCACAATTTTGCACACTTTTTGAGGTTCACAACACACACTTTTTACCCCATTAGTACAGTAGTTCCCCATTTATCCGAGCTGACAGCCGCTGGGGCTTGGCCTGTCAGCCTCACACATCAATGACTGAAATATAATTGCAGCAAAATGTCTGGTTATCAAAAAAATTAGCAGGCATAACTTAATACTTGAGTGTTTATATTGTTCCAAACAAATAGGTCTTCTCCGGCTTTTCCAAATTACCACAATTAATAAAAAGTAATCCATTATTACTTTTCTGTGATTATCCATATCTTGTTCACAACTCAACTGCAATTATTTGACAGTCATCCCGTGATTCAAGTAGGGCCTTAAGTAGAGCATTATTGTTATTATTTGTTTTGTCTCACTGTATTGTAGATTGTGGTTACTGTATATGCATTGTTCTATATTGTATTGTTCTATGCTATTATTTTTAGTGATTGGCGTTGCAGTAGCACCAAGGAGCCCCAGTCACGGTCCAGGACCCCCGGGTGCTAGGAGCTGTACAAACGCAGTACTAATGGACAGTCTCTGCCCCAAAGAGGGAGCTGACAATCTGCATAGGGCTCTATCTTAGTTAGCAGTCCGTGATGTTCTTGCACATAGTCTGTGTATCCCACAGCACATGAGACGGGGGCAGTGGTCTACAGCACATGAGATGGGGTTAGTGGTCTATGGCGGTGTAACTCCGTCAGTCAGGAGTGTGGAAAATCCAACGCAGTTATACCAACCTCACCCGCGGCGCAGACAGAACTATGTCGGCAGGAGAGCTTCTCCTGTGGCCATAGCTACCGCCTCTCGGGGAGGTGGTGTCCCCACGCCGACGGGAGAAGTGCTCTCGTCTTCACTAAATGCTACAGCACGCGGTACAAGTGTCACTGTACTGCGTGCCCCCCTCTGCCTTGGTTTGCTCTGCAGTAGCCTCCCTTCGGTAACTTGGCCATTCAGCCCGCCCGGTCCAGGGTTACGAAGTCCAGCAGGACCACTGTCTAAATGCCCTCTCTGGACGGTTGTCAGCCCCAGCGCGGGGCTCTCTGCCACTATACTGCTGGCTAGCAGGGGAAGGCAGCCTCACCCCTACAGCAGGGTCCAGCCCAGGGATCCTATAACCAGTGCCCATCGCTGTCACTCCTTCTACCAAGCCGCTCCATCTCCTCGTGCCTGGTTCTGGGTTTACCGTGGGCATGTACTCTGCTCCCTGTGGCTACCCTTCTAGCTCCTTACCAGACTCCCTAGTCCAGGGCAGGCTCTCAGGGGTGACTCTCCCCCTAGATTTCCCCTTGCCCCCTAATGAGCCCGGCCTCCCAGAGCATGCCCACAAACTTCTCCTCTGACGTCCGCCTGCAGCTTCCTGTCTTTCAAGTGCTGTCCCAGCCTTTCCCCAGCTGGGCTTCACTTTCAATTAACCCTGGTCCGCCCTCTCCCAGGCAATGCCCAGTAACCTAACTGGCCTCTCTGGCCCTCCTTAATCCCACCAGGGCTGGCATGGGGTGCACACCCCAGCCCCGAGGGTCTCCACAGACATACTAGCCACTGAAAAGGGGGCGAAAGACCCATCGCTCCCTCCGCAAATGGCCTTGAAATACTTTATATTCTAAGTGCTCAACGTCAATTTTTGCTTCCAGCACATAATGTATTAAGAGGATGCTAACAGCACAACACAAGTACATCATCAGTATTCTCATGGCATTACTTCCAAAGTACTTGTGTTCAGATATAGTCGGCAATCAGCAAAGGGTGGGTGTGTGCCAGACTAAAGAATCAGGTTGAACATTTCCACTGTAAGGCTATCTATCTATCTATCTATCTATCTATCTATCTATCTATCTATCTCCATACACCCCCTCTATCTATCTATCTATCTATCTATCTATCCCCATACACCCCATCTATCTATCTATCTATCTATCTATCTATCTCCATACACCCCATCTATCTCCATACACCCCATCTATCTATCTATCTATCTATCTACCCTGTTTCCCCGAAAGTAAGACATCCCCCGAAAATAAGACCTACCTCCAGTTTTGCCTCTCGCTGTAATATAAGGCATCCCCCGAAAATAAGACCTCCCCGATAATAAGGCCACCCCGGAATATAAGGCCCCGAAGCTCCAGGAAAAATAAGACCTCCCCTGAAAATAAGACCTAGCGCATCTTTGGGAGCAAAAATTAATATAAGACACTGTCTTATTTTCGGGGAAACATGGTATCTATCTATCTATCTATCTATCTATCTATCTATCTCCAAACACCCCCTCTATCTATCCCCATACATCCCATCTATCTATCTATCTATCTATCTATCTATCTATCTCCATACACCCCCTCTATCTATCTAGCTCCATAAACCCCCTCTATCTATCTATCTATCTATCAGCAAGGTATGTGAGCCCCAAAGATACCATGACACCAGCCCTGCACTGTGATGGTTCGGGTATGATAGAACCCGATGTAGGACCCCCAAAATGAGCAAACCACCAACCCCAGGCAACACCCCCCAAGCCAAGCCCCCTTTTCTGCGAGTTTGACAACTGACCTCGGAATTGTTGCCGTGTGAGCCCGTCTTTACCAGGCACTAGCCCTGGCGACAATGCCCCCTCCCGTCCCCGAGGTCTCCCTCGCACCCACCCACCCTTCAAACCAACAGGAGGGAGGGACTTGCCCCCTTTGCTTAGACTTCAGCGACTGGCTGCAGCAGCCCCACCCCCGGGCGCCAGCCCCCGAGCCGGCGTGGGGTGCTCCTGGCTCCCACGTTTAGCGGTGCCCTGTGACCAGGCAAAGCGTCTCGCTCGCCTGGGACATCTGACAATTCCCAGCCCTGCCCAAAGCTCCCCCCCTCCAAGCCAGCAGTGAGTCAGAAACAAAGAAGAAACCCCTTTGTGGGCTGTGATTCGCCCTTTATTCTGAACCCGGGGACGTCACACTCGCCTGGCTATAGATGGAGCTGTGGGGTCCGAATCAGCCCTTTAGTGCAAACCCATGTGCCTGGCCATGGAGGTGTGTGTGTGCTGCCCTGGAGTGTAACGGGAGAGCGCCTGTGAGCTACAAAGGGCGAGGAGAGAGAGAGGGAGGAGGTACCCTGTGCATCTCCCATATACCCTCCCCCCACCACCCAAGAACAGACACATCCAATCCAGCCTCATTGCTGTCAGGAGCTCCTCTCTGATCCCCCCCCACCCCAAACCCCTCCCCCTCTCCCCTCCAGCCTGATCACACTAAGGAATGATGAAAAAAAATAATTCTGCAAAAAGGGTGAGTTGAAACGGCTTCTTCTTCGGGGTGAGGGGTTGTGGGGTATTGGGGAGGGGGTGTTTCTTTATTGTTCTGTTGAGACTTCCTCCCACCCCTCTTTGCAAAAAGAAAACTAAACAACAACAACAAAACCCCGACCCACACCCCTTCTTTCTTTCTCTCTCTCCAGTTTCTCAGTCTCTTCCTCGACTTGAATTTGCCAGGAAATCCAGTCCTGTTGTGCAGTGTAAAAAAGGATGTAGGATCATGCGGTTTTCATTTTGATTGCAAGGAAGGCATGAAACACACATAACAGACATTGTGTACCTCTCTGTGTCCCCTATATGGACAGTCTCTGTGTAGTGTACCTATGGATTTATCTGAGTGCCTTTCCAGAGATGGCAAATAAAAACCTGCGCTTGCATTTCGCCCCCAGGAATAAATTCTTAATCAAAGGCTCAAATATGCAATTTGCACTGCAGTAAAAAATCAATTAGTTGGAATTCCTCCCTCCCTGGGAGCAAATGCATGTTGGTTGAGATGGATGCAACATCACAGCCGTTCTTGTCTCATGCACAGAATGAGATAGAGCTTGTGATTTTCGCTCCATGCCTTGGGTATTATTATTATTTTTGCTTCGTGTCTGCAGTGGGGGAATCTCTGCAGAGTGAAACTGGCAAAGTACCTAAGTCTCAGCATTGGTGGAGAGTGGGCAAGGTGGGGGCGAGGGGGGGACAAACTTGGAGAAAAAGGCAGGGTGAAGGATAGGGGAATAAACCCTCTAATAATCCCTTTTCTCTCTCTTCCTTCCCCTCCCTTTGTGTCAGGGGCCACAGGATGGAAACCAGCAATCCATGCAGCCAGAGAAGGTCGGCTGGGTTCGGAAATTTTGCGGGAAAGGCATTTTTAGGGAAATCTGGAAAAACCGTTATGTGGTTTTGAAGGGAGATCAGCTTTATATCTCAGAGAAAGAGGTAGGATTTGTTTAATTTGCCTCTCCTCCCCCACCCCCCATCCTCCCTTTGCCTTTCAAAAGCAAATTGAGCAGCCAAAGTGTTTATCCAACACCTCTTTGAAACCCGGGAGTCTCCATCCATGGTGTTTATTAACCATCTTGTAATTTGCTAGCTGGAAAGTTTCTATGGGGAATTCTCTTTTCACTGTCTGGCTCTGCATTGTCAGTTCAGACGAGACCTGGGCTGGGTTTGTGTGTCAATTCTAACAACAACAACCCCCACAACGGTGCCCCGGAGTCTCCCACAGAGGACTGGCGGGGAGACATTTTTCCAGCGCCGATACATGAAACGATTTGCTTGGCAAATGCTAAGCTGTTCATCTCTCCTTTCCCCATAGTCACGTATTTCCTTATGTCTGCCCTCCGTTATCGAGTTCCACAATGGCCTGGTTTGCAGCCTCACGCCCTGATCGTTTTCCAAATGGAAAAAACAGCGGGGCTAGGATGCCAGACTGACCAATTTACAAGTTGGGGTTTTAGGTTCCAAGCCCAGTCCCTTATCGCTCAGTTGTTTTTCCAAAGCAAGGGGCACAAGGAAAGTTTAACCACTGCTTTGACATCCTGTTAGCGCAGAGGGTGGACAAAGCACCCCTATCTCAGTTGCAACAGTCTGAGGGTTTGGGGTTTAATGTATTGGATTGAATCGGATGTGGCTTTCTGAGCACAGGCATTGCAGTCTGTGACTGTCCTGGTCTAGCAGGGGGTGGCTTGTCCCTTCCCTGTTTCACAGATGTTGGGATCGGTAAATCCACCCAATTGGGGTTTTTGTTTGTTTGTTTTAAAGCAGATGGATCTTGCACAACAAAATCTTGGTGTTAATTGGTGCAACGTGTACAAGAAGCGAGGAGGGTGTCGGTGTCCGGACTGGGGTTACAGGTGTGAATGAAGATGGAGAGATAGGCCAGGATGTACATAAACAACCAAATCCCTCGGCTAGGGGTGCTGGAACAATTTGTATAGTGGGGGCGTTGAGAGCCATTGAACAAAACTGTAAACCCGGTATAGGATGGAATCCACTTCAAGCCAGGGGTGCAAAAGCATCCCCTGCACCCCTAGTTCCAGTCCCTATGCCCTCGGCCCCATCCCGCAGCACGGCTCACACCAGCAGCCCTTACTCATGCGGGTACGGCCAAGGGAAGGTCCCACTGCCTGCATGTCAGGTAACATTACCCAGGTTATCGAATAAAGAGCAAGAGAAACAACGGGGCCCAGAGGGAGAAGGATCCTTTGGCAAAGAGGCTAATGACATCATTGAGCATGGCAGAGCATGTGTGGATCCGAGTTTATTGCAATGGAGAGATGATTGCAGAACAAACTGGGGTGAGCCTGGTCTGGGCTTCCCATCTATCAGCTTTTCACAACTCCCTCCAAACGTGCTCTCAGTGGCCACAGAAACAGGGCATGGCTGGGGCCTATTCCTTAGAAACTAAATTATGCCTGGGAACTAGGGGATCAGCACATTAGAAATGCATAGACAGTGAGAAAATAAACAGAGAGGTAGATTAGCTACTGTAGCAAGATACTCCAGATGGAAAGACTGATACTGATCATATGATGTACGGACAGACAGATAGATATGCAGATATGGAGACGTAGATAGATCATTGCATTAAATGGTTGGGAGAATGTTTCCTTATTCACTGCCCAGTATTCTACCATTGCATGTTAACTGCTCTTCTGCACGGGGGCCCTGGTTCAGGAACGCACATAACCACACGCTTAACTTTTATCAACTTCTTCAACTCCAGTTGACTTGGATGGAATTTAAGCACGTGCTTCCGTGTTTTCCTGAATCAGGGCCTAGACGAGAAATTCATTTTGCTGCCCATAGGCCAAGGGGCGCTGTTTGCTCCACCCGAATACCGTGAGCCATCCCATCGGTGCAGGTAGGCAGGGGCTGGGAATAGCTTGTATTATTGGCAGACAATAATAACGGTAAATTTACAGCGGGCTGCAGGGATTATGCGGAAACACCCAGGCAGATGTTTAATGGCGCTGGCAGGACGCTTTATGATTCTCCGAGCAGCTGCGGTAACATCACCGGGCCTGCTCACGAAGATCCTCATTTGTAGCCGTCTGTGGTGGAGCCGAGTTTGTGCATTTCCAGGCAAGAGGGCAGAAAGCCATGATTCAGGGGCGAGGACGGGGAGCTGGGGAGGGCTTGCCCATCGGGTTGTGCAGGATCAGAAATGTCTGGTGAAATCCTGGCTCTTTCGAAACTAATGGCAAGCCCCCCATGGCCTTCCTCGGGGCCAGGGTTTCACCCTAGCATGCTAGCCCTGGTGTGGGAGGAAGAAGCCTCCCCAGGGGTGACCTGAATGTAACCCATATTGCATAACCTTCCTGAGTCTGCAGCGGGAGACTGAAATAGCCAGGAGCTGAGAGGCCCCAGTGCACAGCCTTGTTCTTGTGAGCTTTGTGGCAGCTGTCCTGCCTGTGAGCCCACTGTGTGGGAGAGGGATCCCCCTTCCCCACGCCCATTGATTGCAATGGGGTCTGGGTTTTGCCCTGTGTCTAGATCTTCCAGGGCAGGCAGCGTTCCCCGCTTCCAACTTCCCCCATCCCGTGCATGCCCCTGAGCACTGGGGGCAAATAGACGGACCTTCTGGTTAGCGACCTACTTCCGGATTGGTCAAGGATTAATGTAAAGGCCCTGCCCGGCCTCTGGCATCGACACCTGAGTCGCCCGGGCCCAGGAATAGTAGCACTGGATGGGACTGGGTTTAGAATGACTGACACTCGGAGCTACTTTCCTCTTCTTTGAGGAGCTAAGGGGCAGGCTCTAAGAAGGGGATGAGGAGCTGCTGGCGGGCGGCTCCCGTCCGTGTCTTTGTGTGGTAGACAGGCCCAAGACTCTGCCACGGGGGCCATGCAAAGTCCCTGAGCATAGCGGAGTAACTTGCGCGTCTGTCTGAGAACTCACATGTTTGTGTCAATGTCTCAGTGAATAGCACGTGTGTCCGTGTCAGCGAACATGTATGTAAGGAGAAGTAAAACATCTATTCATCGCCCATCACCATAGTATTGGTGTGTCCTGAGCAGGTGTTTAAATGAGCAATATGCCTGCATGTGAACAGTCATGTGAGTGCCAGTTTCTAAATGAGTAATGTGTATCCGTGTCGGTGACCAGGCATGTATCCAATGGTAGGGAACAACAAGGCGTGTGTCACAAGAAGCAATGTGTGTGAACGAACATGTGCATGGAAGACTATGTGCATTTGGGTATGAATAATGCACGTTAAAGAACATGTATGTGTCTACCTGGAAGAATAACGTGTTTGTGGATATATGTGTCTTAAAGGGGTAACATCTGCTGTGTATGTCAGCATCAAAATGAATAATTTGTCTCTGTGAATGTGTGTGTGTTTGCATGAATGAAGAATGGGCACATGTGCAGGTGGGATATGTCTCTGTGAGTCTCAACATATGAATGAACATGTGTGGGGTGGAGCATTTCTCCCTCATGTGACATTCTGCGGACAAACAAACAACATCTTTGTGTTCTGCCTGTGTGCATGTGGTGCATTTGTGCATGGTGCGTTGCATGTGCGTAAAATGGTTTCTCTCTGCACTTCTAGGTATAACACTCTTTTTAAACCAGATCTTGTGCCGTTTAGGATCTGACCCCGCTGTTTGCTCTCTTTTGGCCGCGGTTGGCCTTTGGATCTCTGGACATTCATGAGCACAAATGCGAACTCACAAGAACGGATGGGAGGACGTTTATAGCTAGCATTTCCTCCCCCTCCAAGCAGCAGGCCCGTAGCCAGTTCCCCATTCATCTCCTCCCTGGCCATCCTGTGCAAGCTCGCTTTCATGGAAGCAGGCGCTTGCAGCACCTACAAATAGGTTAATAAATCTGCGTTGGTCGAGCAGAACAGAACGCAGCCTCTTTTGTTTTTTTCACACACCAGATTACGCCCAATGGAGGAAATGGAGCCAGTGCTGTGCTTTCCTGCTGAGTTGAGATAGCTTTCCACTGACAACACTCCTGGTGAGGGGAAGGGGGATGATGCAGCTGAGGAGGGATCGGAAGAGCAGGCCCCTCAAGGAGATGTGAACAGGGATAGTTTGTGGAGGTTGCCTAGACATTGGGGTAAAATCTCAGTCTCACATCCCTGGGCAGTAGAGAGAGAGCATATGCTGATGAGAGACTAGACTCCAGGGTCTGTTACAGTAACAGCTCCTCAGCCGGTGTAAATTGGCATCGCTCCATCAAAGGCAGCTATGTGGATTTGCACCAGCCGAGGACCTGGGCCTCTTGCTCTTAAATCTCATATTAACTAGGAAATTAACCTTGATGTTGCCTGTCAATTTCTGTAAAATGGGGAGAATGACAATCATCTCCTTTGTAAAGGGCTGTGACATCTCCTGAGGAAAAGTGCTGGGTAAGGACAAGGGATTATTATTTAGGGGCCCACATCAGAGCTGGGCTCTTCTGAAATCCGACCCCCATTGTGGGTTGAAACCCCTGGTCCTAGTGTATTGAGTTCTGTCAATAAGAAATGTGAACAGTCTTAATGTAAGTTTGATCCCCACTCTGGTTTGGAATCTGTGCAAGGCTTCTCCGGCCTGCTCTGCCTCTAGTGCCCCCATTAATAAAGCCACGCGCCTTTTGCTGGTTCATCGGCGCACCAAATACTAGCAGGGGCCGAAGGCTTTGTGTATCCGATTGCCTCGACCTAACACACAAATCTTTAGCCATTGCTGCAAATTGGTCCCATAAACTATGCAAAACCTTTGTTATTTTGCATTTGGTCGGTGGCCAGAAAGTTCCCAATAACAAAACACAGGCTGGTTGGAGTTGATTTCTGGTAAGCAGCAAGGCATTTTGCATTCCTTTCCCCTATCCCCCTCCTCAAACCCACATTTCTGGTCATTGTTCTCTTCTTTCTAGCACTGCTTTGTTATTGATTTACACTCGGGAATAACAGTCAGACTAACACAGCACACAGCTGGGCT